ATGATCTATTGAGGTCCCTTCCGACCCTAGCATCTATGAATCTGCTGTGGATCTGACTCTAGTCCCAACCTTGGCTCCGGGCCAGAGTCGGAGCCACAGCAGCCACCTGCACTTCACTCCATTTTGTATGCAAATCTAAGACAAGGGACTTTTTCCACCCCCAAATCAGCTGGTGGGGAGGAAGCCCTTATCTTAAATTCAAGTATATATGGTAATAGAAAAAATCCACTTTTTTAGGAATGTCATTGAATTAGTTATTTGATTAATTCACTACAGCAGCTCTAAGTATTTCATTTAATCGTGAAAGTGATTTAAAGTTGAACTCTAAATATGTCAATACAGACCTAGTTGTAGAAGAAAACAGAATCTCAGACCAACAGCAACTTTCTGTTCTACAAAGATGCCTGCTCCTGTGTTCTCCACCCTCTCCTCTGGGGACTCAGCAAAAATCTCTAACTGTGGCAAACCAAGTGCAGTAATTCTGCACGAGCAATTATAAATTCATGAGTCAAAGTGAGAACAAAACAGCTGTTAAAACTTACTTTTATAGTAACAACATCTGAAAGTAACACAGCTACAGAAATTTTGATACCTTGCCTAGTCAGCACCTCAAAATGATGACCACGGTTTTTGTCTTATAATGGGGCTTTGATAATGATTAGTCAAATCCTCCTTTCAAACTGTATAAAAGAGGAGAGCCACACACATGATCAGAGGTCAGGAAAACAGACCTTATGAAGAGAGGCTGAGAGCCATGGGACTCTTCATCCTGGAAAAGTGCAGGTTCAGGGGTGATCTGGTGGCCACCTATAAGTTTATCAGGGTGATCACCAGGATCTGGGGGAACTTCTGTTCACCAGAGCACCCCACAAACTCCTCCATGACTGGTTCAGGCTGGACATAAGGAGGAACTTCTTTACCGTCCAAGCTCCCAAGGTTTGGAACAGACTACCGCTGGAGGTGGTTCAAGCACCTGCTTTGAATGCCTTCAAGACACGTTTGGATGTTTATCTTGCTGGGATCCTATGACCCCTGCTGACTTCCTGCCCCTGGGGCAGGGGGCTGGACTTGATGATCTTCTGAGGTCCCTTCCAGCTCAAATGTCTATGAAATCTATGAATAGCTCCCACAAAAATGACATCTCAAGTTCTTCACTCTTCTCTCAGTGGTGGGTTAGCAAGTTGAGCTTGTCTTTTCCCCCTCCAAACAACAAAGCTTGATCTCTCAGGTGGAGTTCAACAAAAATTAATAACTCATTTGCACTTTTTGTTTAACATTGGCAAGAGATGTGAACAGGCTGCTTTCTCTATAGTTAATGATGCTATTGAGGTCAATGATGCATGTACAACACTCTTAAAAGAGAAACTGAACCTTCAAAAGGAAAGGTCCTTTAATTTATAATGGCAACAAGGCTGTCTCTAGCAACCCTTTTATTTCCTCTGCAAGGCATATGTGAGTGGACGAGATTTATCCTTAGTAAAAACTTTTCAGTCCAAGGCAAAGATATAAAAAAATATATATATATATATTAAAGACTTACTGCCATACCTGAATTAAAAATAACGAACTCACCTCTTTAGTCCTTTTCTTATCTTGCTCTATTTCATATTCTTCCTTAGACCTCCTGACAAAATAGACAAAATATAGTGTAGAATATTCAGGAATCTTCAAATAACATGATTTATATTGATTTAGCACTGTCAAATCAGAGGACAAACTTGGCATGATAGCCATAGAATCATAGAGAAGCAGGGCTGGAAGTGACCTCCAGAGGTTATAAAGTTCAACCCCCCCGCCGAGGCAGGATCACCCCTATCTAAACCATCCTATACAATCTACCCTCTGAACTCTACACAAGACTACCTTCAACCCTGATGCAACATAGACCTAACATCCTAACCTGCCACAGATAAAAATGAACCACAGCAGCCAATATCCTGATTCTATGAAATATTGTCAATGTATGCGCTAGAGCAGGGGTTTTCAACCTTTTTCTATCATTGTACTCCCAGGCAGCTGGACACAGAGCACTGTACCCCCGGCTGTGGGGCGCGGGGGGCATGGTGTGTGACTGGACCCCGAGTGGGGGAGGGGGTGACATGCAGCTGGATGCGGAGCAGTGGCAGCAGCCTCATGCGAGCTTCCCCCGCCCTCCATGTCTGGCCAGTCACCCCCGCAGGGCAGGGGAAGTTTGCACATGGCAGCTACCCTCGCGTACCCCCTAGAACCTGCTCAAGTACCCCCAGGAGTACATGTATCCCTGTTGACAACCCCTGCTCTAGAGATCCTGGATATATGGCTACACCACCTGCTACAAAGGAAGGAAAAAAATCCCACAGTACATACCAATCTGACCACAGAGTTAAATTCCTTCCTGACTCCAAAATGATGACTGGTCAGATCTTGAGTGGAAAAGAAAGACCTTCTAGCCATTAGCCTCTGGTTTTAGTCCCAGCAGGAACACTGGCACACCCCAATCCAAGTTCCCAGTCTTGATGCAGCCAACACCCAATGTCTTTGTGGAAGACTTAAAAACACCCTGACATATGTAACAAGGGGAGTGGAGGGGGCAACTAGCAAAGCCCACAAGCATAGAAAATACCCATATTGGAACATGGACAGCCACTAGTTAGGGATAATCTATGTCTATAAACCTATTTTTGAACACCTCCAGTGATGGGGAGTCCATAACTTCCACAGCCAGTCTATTTCACTGCCTTGCTATTCTAACAGTAAAGAAGCTTTTTTTCCAGGTATCCCATCTAAACTTACTTTGCTGCAATGCAACTTCAAGCCATTCTTGTAGCAACACAGAAAAGCTGCTTTCCCCGCCCTTCCTTCTGGCAGCCCATTAAGTATTTGAAGACTGCTATCATGTCCCTTTTTTGCAAGCTGAACATGCCTAGCTCCTTCAGCTTCTCCTCATATGACTTGCCTTTCAAGCCCTTGATCATCTTTGTTGCCCACCTCTGGACCTTTTCTAACTTTTCCACATCCTTTTAAAATGTGGAGCCCAGAACTCCACACAGCACTCCAGATGAGGCCTAACCAGTGCCAAGCAGTGAAGCACTATCACCTCCCATGTCTTGCACCTAACACTTCTAGTGATCCAGCCCAAAACCACATTCACCTTTTGTGTGGCTATATCATATTGCAGGTTCATATTGAGTCTGTAATCTATCAAAACTCCCAAGTCCTTTTCCACAGTGCTGCCATCCAGCCAGATGTCATCCATTTCATATTTGTACGTTTGATTGTTCTTCCCAAGGTGTAGTACCTTGCATTTGTCCACACTGAACTTCATCCTATTAGCACTAACCCAACTTTCCAATCCAATGAAATCTTTCTGAATTGCGCTCACATCCTCCAACATGTTCATAATTTTTCCCAGCTTCATGTCATCTGCAAACTTGCTCAGGAAGCTTTCTATGCCAGCATCCAAATTGTTAATAAATGTACTGAACAGCACCAGGCCCAGTTGGACTCTGCTTGAAACTTCCTGCTACTCTGACATGGACCTATTAATAATTACTCTTTGTTTGAGCCAGTTATCTATCCACCTTGTAAGTAGTTTTATCTAGCCCACATTTCTTCAAATTGTTTATTAGGAAGTCACGTGGGACCTTCTCAAAAGCCTGGCTGAAGTTCAGAATCATTATATCCACAGCATTTCCTTTATAGATCCAAGTAGTTACTTTGCCAAAGAAGGAGATCAAGTTTGTTTGACATGATTTGTTTTTCATAAATCCATGCTGGCTGCTTATGATCTTCAATATGAAGTGATGTTTTTTATAATGATTTCACACTGCTAAATCAGGACAAACTTGGCATGATAACCCCAAATTTCCAAAGTCTCCAAACAGCTTTGATTATTTCAAATACAAAACAAAAACTGCAATATTGGTCCTGATAAACAATGGGCCTCATTTCCCCCTGTGCAGCAAACTCTTGTTTTAAGTTTATTCCTGGAAATTTTTCACTCAGATGGTAGAGTGAGTGAGTAAAAGGAGATGTTTCTTCTTTTATAAGTAAAAGGAGAAATATCCAGAAGGCAGAAAATATATAGTGCCCCTTCCCTTCATCTGCTTTTGAGTATTACCTGGTCTCTTCCATGATCATGATGCCATTAGCCAGCCCCTGAGGGTTAGGGGCAAGGGCTCCCTTAAACAGAGAGAGGAACTACCACACCTTAATGAAAACAGCCTATTAATGTCTGCTGGTTTTATTTATGCAACTGGGATTTTTTGGGAAGGAAGAATAATCTAGAATAACCACATTGGCTCCCTACCCCCAAAACTCTACTGTCCTACAACTCGGAGTAAGTCCCTGCACGGGAATTACAATGAAGCTGTGGAAAAGAACAAAACCTTCTGCAAAAACAAAATTCATTCTTTCTACATGCACAGGCTGTTCTATATGCTTGGACTGCAGGGTGTTCTGACAACGCAGAGGCCGAAAGCTGAACTAACAAGCTGATTGTCTGAGCCCTTGTAGCATATTGAAGGTGAGCTTAAAGGAACAGGGCCTAGGTAGTACTCCAGTTGTCAGCAATCCCGGGCTGATGAAACAGCCCCTTGGAAACCTGTTTTTCACTGATGAAAGTTAGGGCTAACTTCAAGATGCTCTGTTTTGATTCAGTAAATGTTGTACTTGGATTCTCTCATAATTAGAACTTTGAAAAGAACATTTATGCCACCTAGTAGACAAAGGAAATGCTCAAGTAAAATAAACATGAGAATTAGTTCTTATTTTATAAAAATTATTAGGTAGGATATCCATTTTTTACCTTAAAACTTCCCTCAGTATTTGCATTTCTTGCTGTTCAATTTCAGTAAATACATCAGAGCCATCTGTCAAACAGCCAGGTAGCACACCTATAAAAAACAAAAACTGCAGAATTCCTGCATTACTTGAGAGGAGAGGGGGGGATTTCCACTTCATCTAGCACACTTTCCTCAGCCAGAAAAAGGAAGGCAAGGGAAAATTATTACCTGCAATGCTGCTTTTCAGAAGTGACACAAAAAAAATGGATTCCTTAGCATCAGTTTCCCAACAACACTCCAAGCACATCTACATATATATATATTAATGCACATTAATAAACTCCAGTGCATATCCTGCTGGAGTTTATTGCTCCCAGGTACTGCATTTACACATGTGCCTGAGACAACAGCACACTGAGCCAGGTCAGAGCAGCTCCAGCTGGCAGGGGACCCAGGGGGTCAGCCTGCCACTCCAGGGCTGCTCCAACTGGGCTCAATGTGCTATGGAGCAGCTGGCTGGAGCACAAGGGTGCTTCAGTGCAGGGCTAGCCAGTAGGCAGCCCTCTCACTAAAGCAACCTCATGCCCCAGTCAGTTGGGTCAGTGTCTACACATGTGTTGCAGCTCATGAAAAAACTCCACAGGACAGTACTTGTATTTACAAGTACTAACCTACTGTGGGGTTTTAGTTTCCTGTGGCCTAACAGGGCCACACATATAGACACCAAGATCTGTACTGCGAAGCTAATTGGATAACTCAGCAATAAATGTCTTTTGTAGACATAGCCTCCGAGTACTAAAGTTTTGAGTCTCAAGGAAGAGGAAGAGCAGGCAAAGCAAGAGGTACATGCTTCAGTGACCATCACAGGCCATCTCCCCAAGCTGTAAGAACCCATAGCTGGCTCAGAAACCAGTTTCTTAGCTCTTTGGTTGGTGACACTCATAAGTACAACTCAACCACACTGAAAATTCGCAGTTAGTAAAACTAACTGCAAAAAGCAACATAAAAAGATAAAACCCTAAGTCTGAAAGGGGAGGTAAAAATCCTATCGGAAGGATATCAGCAGAGAAATAAATTGCAAGTAATCTTCTCTTATTTAAGGAATACAAAAATACAGGGGAGTAGATCTGATGGCCCATGAGTTTCTTTCCAATCCTATGTTCCTTAAATACTGGAATATCATGACAATGAAAGTTACAAAAGACCATAAAAAATTAATTACTCTGTAGTGCAGTTGGATCATGTGTAATAAATATGGCATGGGGTCACACACAGAATAATAAGAAAAAAAGGAAGACTGAATTGCTACCTATTCAGTGAATGTTATTCATTCTGTGCACTGAAAGAAGCAGGTAACTGTAGAAAAAATATGATGCGATCATGTGAAGACTACATCAGAATGCAAACACACAAGTGGACCAAATTAAGCCTGCACAAACAACCTTCATTCTAACATTTAACTTTGTAAGTATGACTTTGAAATGTGTATGTCCTTCTGCTGCAGTTCTATTTATGTCGCATAGGTATGTGTCTAAGTGGGTATGTCTACACATGCTCCTATGGCGCTGTTGTTACTGTTCCGTAATTTAGTACTTCCGAAAGAAAGTACTAAATGACGGCACAGTAACAGCTCATACTACACTGTCAGCATGGCACATGGTTATTTTTAGCAGCTATGTCACCATAGCAACGCACTATACCAAAGGAGCATGTCACTACAGTGACGTAGCAGTGGTGTCACAGTTTTTGGCCATAGCATGTTTCTACAGTGACGCAGTGTCATGTATATGTGCCTACTGTGTTGTAAATAAAGAATATTAAAAAACCTTATATTTTTGTTTCTCTTTTGTGTCCCAATCTATCTTCTAAACTAGTTCCTTTTATGATGGTTTAAAAAGACAAACAACTGAGAGCAAACAGAAAACTGCCCTAGCAACTCTCCCTCAGAATGTACAAGGCATTGCACTTGGAGAAATTGGACAACTACAACCTACACCACTTCTGCCTTAGGCAATTCTGTAGAGCCATGCTCAGCTCAGCTACAGCTGAGAACAGAGCCTCCACTTAATTTCCTGCTGCCTCTTCTTACTAATCTTCTCAGTGGATAAAAATGGATTAAAAAAGTTGGGCTTGTTATTTAAATCACAATGTTTTTGATTTTATCATTTTTTAAAATTTAAGATGCTTTTAAAAAAATAAACATATAAAGATAGTTTTAATTTAATATATGTTAAAGCTCAGAGATATTATCATGGAATAGGGATTATTACTTCTAATTATATTCTATTTGAGACAATATATTCATGTAACCTTTTTAGAAGTTTTTTAAATAGGTCACAACAGGCTATGGACTATATTGGGGGCCCAATCTTAAGGAGTTCCCAGAGGCTTCTCTATAGATTAGTAAAGATTAAAGAAAACCACTCTACCCAATGGGACTCAGTGCTCAGTCTAGAAGATCCCATTAAGCATCTCTGTGTGATGCGTAGTTTCAGTTCTCAAGCTGTGGATTTGTCTCTCCAGAGATCATAGACAGACGAGGTTCTTTGGGTAGATGTGATATCTTTTATTAGACCAAAAAAATAGTTGGAAAAAATATTCTTTGCAAGCTTTCAGGCACAAATGCCCTTCTTCAGGCATAGGGAGAGTTTGTTGTCTCCAGAGATAACATCCTTGTAAACAGCAGCATATGGAAATGAAAGATAACAGACCTGATTACCCACCCATCAGCCCTATTGTCTCTCTGCAAGTTTATGTACACACAGTCAAGCCCTTTACCTTTCTCTAAAAATGCAAAGTTTCAAGAAGTTAAATGAGTAAGGGATATCAAACAACAAGAATGCACTGGTTGTAGAAATCGATTATTAAATCTAGGCTTCCTGACCAGTGATTTAAATCATGGTTTAAATCTATTTGACTTAAATCAAATCTACCCTGCTGCTTTTTTCCTTTTCACAGGTATTATTTTAATACTGGCTTAAAATTTGGAATTTTAAAATAATTTAAAAATGAATGCAATTAACATTTCTCCTATGTATCCTCATGTTTAAGAAAAAAATCAGACATCTTTCTAAATGATTATATGCAATTTTTCTGAATAAAATCAGAGAACTTACACATTCAATCCTCTGCTATACACACAGCAAATAGGAAGAAGGAAATTAGTAAACTTTGAGATTCAGGAAAGCTTGAGCTTATTGAAATAAAAGACTAAGAGAAGTGCCTGGAAGATAATTGTGCCAAAATTACTGACTATACACAAGTATATTAAAGTAACAAGGTGACAAAATAATATTTGAATGTGCATCCCCTTGAACACAACTTGCTGTGCAGCTACATAGAGAGGTTTGAGAATATAGCAAGTGTAAGCACAAAGGGAACTTGCTGCTTTGCAAATCCATCAGTCTTTATTCTATATGGAGTGGGAGAGTGGCCAGCTTGACAATGGTTGTTGTACTCCAGAAAACAATCGTGTTGCCCCAAGTTATATGTACTGTTGTAATACCCCACAATGATCTGCACAATTCTTAAACTAAATGTAATTTAGATTTCATATAATAGTCTAACAGACTTTGGCTAACTTTTATTTCCCTTTTAAAAGCTGTGATTGACCGAACCAGTTGTAGCCTAAGGGTGAAATCCTGGCCTGGAAGTTTTGCCATTGACTTCTGTTGAGCCAGGATTTTACCTTACTTGTTCAGATTACATAGCTCTCAGAACAGCTGAAAAGATGCACAAAAAAACTATAAATTCTCATTTATTGCTTCTTACCATTTCTCTCTTTAATGACTCGAATGGCTTGCAACTGCATTTCAATATTTTTTTGTACCATCATTTCTTTGAATAGTCTAAAATCTTCTGCTGCCAGTACAGGTTGCAAAATGACCTGTGGGGGAGAAAACTGAGAAATTAACAGAAACCCAACTGATCATTTCAAAATAGCCCAGATTTCAAAAGGTGTACTTCAAGATAGCAAGAAATAACATCTTTGTATTGTCTCTACTTAGAAACATTTTTGTGTTATCTATCACCTGGAATAAACACTTACTGTTGATACAACACCAACAACTTTGGGGAGGGGGAAGAAACAAGAAACTAAGGAGGATGAGGATTTACCAATATGGAAAACAAAAATCCTCTTCTGTCTGAGATGATTCAAAATTCACCATCACTACACTGATTTTCTGTTTTCTATATGCATTTTAACTGCCTGATGCAGTAACACATGTAAAAAGTACTATTTTATGGTCCCAGTCCTGCTACTTTGTGCTAGTGGACAGTCAACCCTAAATAGGTTCTGCTGTTGTAGGGAACTAATTAATTTATTTGTAAAATGGAATGTTGCTGTTTGATTTGAGAGCCTAATAAGACTGAAATTCTGCAGTACTGCCAACCCCACCATGCCAAAAATCATGAGACAAACTCTTAAAAAAATCAAGAGATTGGCATATATATCATGAGATGCTATTTTTGAAGTATGTGTGGGGGTGTGGGGTGGTATTTGCGAAGGTCTTGGGGACTGTGGGTGTGTGTGGGGTTTGGAGCCCAGAGAAGGGGGTTCTCACACACCCTGGCAGGATGCAGGGTACTGTGGGTCTGGAGTGAGAAGCAGCAGCAAGGTAGGATGGGCTGTGGCTTGGGAGTGAGGAGCAGACAGAAAGAGACAGACACAGAGACAATGACAGACACACAGACAGCACCCAGCTGGTAAGTGAAGGGAAAGGGACTGGGGCAGGGGCGGTAAGGGTGGTGGGGAGGGGAGGGAAGGGGCATGGCGGGGGCAAATCAAGGCCCCACAGGGAGGGAGGGAGTGGGGTGGAAGCAGGAGTGAATGGGGCCCCAGGACCGGGGCGGGTTGTCCAGAGGCGTGGGGGACAGGCATGTCATTCCCCACCCCGCAGTAGCATACACCCATGGGGGAGGCATGGGGGCATGTGCCCCCACCCTCCCCCGCAAGGTAGAGGTGAGCTGGGGCTCTGCACCCTGCTGTCTTGCCCCAGGAGCTCAGCTGAGCAATGCCATTGCCGCCTGCCCGGCTGGTAGGAGACATGGGGCACACTGGCCGCATGGCACATCCCCTACCTGCCCAGTGGCAGGAGGCACACTAGGGTCGCACAGCTGAGCTCCTGGGGCAAGGCAGCAGGGCGCAGAGCCCCAGCCCGCAACAGGCAGCCTGCCTCTGCCCTTCCACCTTTTGGAGGACCTGCCCCAGACCCAGGGCCCCATTCATCCCTGCCCCTGCCCCACTCCCTCCCTCACTGCAGAGGCCTCGATCTCGCCCCCCCGCCCCCGCCAGCCCTTTCCTTTTCCTCCACTTACTGGCTAGGAAAATATGGAAATCTAAGGGTTGGATTGGGAGATCGCGTGTTGCAGTTATTTTGACTTTGAAATCCTGAGTCTTGTGATGGTATTACAATAGTTGGCATTACTGATTCTGTCTACCATGTATACTTTTTAATAGTTTCAGCCACCTATTCTAGCTGTGATGAAAAGCATGTAAAAAAAGAACAAAGGAAAAATAAAAATAAAAAGCTGATGGTCTCCTAGGGCAGTGCTCTGAATTTTAGAAGACTTGGATTCTATTTTAAGGTGAAATCCTGCACCCTGGGAATAAATAGCAAAATTCTCTCCCCCCCAGTATTTTCTTCCTCCAGTTTAACAGAAGCCAGGTACACAGGCAACATCCCCTGCCATTAGGGAAAGGAAATGCTCAGAAGTGGGATTGAGGAAAAGCCACTCATTTCTCCATGGGTAATGACAGAGCTAGTACTTTGAGTCATTACATCTTTTAGTAAAGGGGAACTAGGCATTTGTTTGCAGAATTATACTGGGAAGACAAATAACACTGGAGCAGGTGGTCTGCAATATAAAGCCAGGGTAGGATGCAGTAGTAGCAAGATGTACTTTGTAGCAATTTTTGTATGGGCTCAAAACATACAGAGCGGGTTAAAGGTGACAGAAATTAAAATTGTCACTAAGGTACACAGAACTCTAAAGGGCAGGACACAAAAAAACCCCCCCAGGAAGTACTTGGACTATATCTACTGTCCTCTTTCTAACAGTAACTAAGATATGACTATATGTTAGCTTAAGGACTAAAATGTCTGGCATTTCCTCTTCATGCTACAGCTGAATTTGGATGTTGCTATTTAATAAGCTTTCCCAAAATCCAATTGTATAGATCTGTATCAGGGATGATATCAAAGTCTCAAGAGAAGAGTGTATGAAGACCACTTTGCCAAACACTAAATCCAATTTGGGGAGACTTCAGAAACTTCATAGTGGTTTGTGAATACGTGAAGATAGCTCCAAGCAGACTCTTTACAGATGCCTAGGAGACATGTTTCTCTATAATGCTGCAGATGCTTCTTGGTTCTTGTGGAGAATGTTTCAATAATCATATCAAAACACAGCTTGGCTATTTAGTAGCCTGGAAAGTCACTGAGCAGATATCACCAGACCCTGCATTCTCTCCACTATGGCTAGGCAGAGAAGATGATCTCAGTGGTTTCCTCGTTTGTCAGCAAAAAGCCAAAGCACAGTCTTATGTCCAGGAAATGGATCTTGCCCTCAGGAATGTGCAAGGTTTTTGCAAGGGGAAAAAATGGAGAGTGGGTGTGCTGGTTTAGGATGGTGTTCCATGGTCACCTGCAGCAGAAATCTGGGGTGTGTCCTTAAGAATATTTTATCTGGATGGAAAACTGCATAGGGCCTGGATCTCACCTGCCCCTTCTTGCCAAGAAATCAAGGTCATCTTCATTGACAAATGTAGCAAATTATACAAATGACAGTAGATCAAATGGTGGCTTCATAAAAATGAGGAGGACTACACTGGTCAGATCTTTCAAGATTTTAAACCAAGTGCTGTAGGAAAACACCACCTGCCCAGTACTGGTGAGTGGTAACCCAAGATGGCTGCTAAATGCAATTTAGCTAAGTGTTAGGGATTGGTTGCTCTCTGTTTCAGCTCCAGAAGAGGCAAGGTAAGGTAATATCTCTTGTGGGATCAACTTGTATAGTTGGGAGAGAGAGGAAATAAGCCTTGAGGTTTCAAACATCACAAGCTGGAAAGCAATTATAATCCAGGCCAAGTACATCTTAGAACAATTGCTTTAGTTTAACCTAATTACCTTAATGAATGTTACCACTTGGAAAGTAAGCAATTGTAAAGAAAGAGAAGTTAGCAGAGGGAGTTTCAGGAGTCAGGATCACAGACAAGCCCTCAGCTAGCACTGGTCACCTGGATAGGACTGGCTGCAGCTGCTTGAGAGCCCAGGTGGCCCTCAAACAAGTGCTTATGTGAAGCTGCTACATATAGGCAGCAGCCCTGGTAGTGCTCAGTGGGCTTTCAACCTGTCTAGCAGCTGATGCCTTGCTGTGAGTTCTCTCAAGTCTGGCTCCTAGTCTTATGCTTTTTTGCTGCATCCCTGCCTACATGCTGGCTCTTAGACTTCAGGCTTGTGATCTCTGGTTCTTGATCCCAGGCTTCTGCTCTTACCACTAAATCCTGCCTCCCCACACACCCTGTGTGAGTCTTGCCTGTGACATGGAAAGGCAAGAGGTAGCTTAAAATGAGCTAAAAAACAATATCACTTAAGTCTATGGCTCTGGGTGTCCAGTAAAGTTATGAATTTATTTTCCCAGGTCAGTCCTATAACCTACCTATTGTGTAGGTATAAGTAGAATAGATGAAAGAGGGGCCCTAAATTGAAGTGGTGGGTTTTAAAAAAAACAGTCTCAATTTAGGGCTGATTAAACCCCCATGTCATGCACACACCCCGCTGACTTACTTGCCTCTCCGGTGGGGAGGGGAAGACGAGCTGTCAGCAAGGGGAGCCATCCCTAGGCTGTGGAGGAGGGACTGGTGCTTCCCTCCCTGGCAGCTATGCCCCCTACACACAAAGGCAGCAGAGGGAAGCACCAGGCCACTGCACAGTTCCGGCAGGCAGGCAGGTAGGCTCCAGGGGGGGAAAAAAGATCAGGCTTGCTGCTTTTCTTGGGTGGAGCAGCTTTCCTGGGCTACTGTCAGCCTGCCTGCAGGGCTTCCTGCAGAGCCGTGGAGCTGCAGAGCCCAGTGCTTTGCTCCACAGCTGTAGAGGCAGCAAACTAAAACTCCTCAAAGGACTTCTGGTTTGCTGCGCCCCAAGTCATTTAAAGCGCATTACACTGCTGAATTTCCTACAGCGGCTGGAATTAATGCACAATATGCTGCTGAGGCGTGCAAACACAGACACCATTAAATCGGTGCAAAAGCATTTAGCCTGCTTTAAAGTGTCATGCACACACGCCTCTCGTTTCATCTACATACAGCCATGGATGATAGATATTGATCTCCTACTTAGCATTAGGGAATTCACCTTGCCCTAGTAAGATAATCATATCCACTTAAGTGATTTGCTTATCCACTTCATGAGACAAGTCTACTTAGGGATTTTTCTTGGCTATAGGCAGGATGTTCCAGACGAGCAAAAAGTAAGACCATCTGACACCCAGGCTGTGATGTGGAAGGTATAATTCAGGTCTGCGTAGAGAATCTTCCATCTGTTGTAGTATAACAGATCTGGGAGGAAAGGGTTTTGAAATATAGTTAAAAGATGTAGACCTTCTAGAACATGAACTGCCTCATGCATACTAAGCTATTAAGAGCTGGTTGTCAGTCTTGTCTGAACTCTGTAAAGAATTTGGGACTCAGAGAGATCAGATGGTAAGCATATATTCTATTTGCTTGCATACCACATACACATTTCCCGCAAAAAATCAGCACACCAAAATTGGGGTGCATATCTTAAGCAAGGGAATTTCTTTTTTCTTCACTGTAAAAGGGCAAGTAGCCACTATGATTGGCCACCAAGATGGCTGCTATTTTTCTCTGGGACTGGATGTTTTACTACTGCCCTAACAAGGATATAAGGCCCAGCTAGTTACTGTCCTGCAACACCATAAAGTTTCTGCTGCCTCACCAAGACTGTCCTGGGATGACGCACTTCCTGGCTCTGTTTCCCAGAGGACATGCTCTATGTCAGACAATTGGCCATGACTCTGGAAAAATCTTTTCTTCTATAGACTTCCACAAAAAAGGGTGCAACTAGCATGCAATAAAATATGGTAGCGGCATCATCATCAACATCAAGGCTATGAATATGGTTCATGTGGCTCACACTCCCCTGGAAAAGTTTCAACACTTCTTGTTAATCTGGTCTAAATAGTTTCACCCTGGGTTAACCCCAATCCAAAAAGATCACTTGAAAAATGGAGGCCTCAATCACCCACTCACTCAAAGGAAAGCATCCACCTAGGTAGTCTGTCTGGCTCAGGCTTGTCCAACATGCAGCCCGCCAAGGCATTTTCTGTGGCCCATGGTGCTGCGACGGGAAACAAAAGTAAACACGATTTACTTTCATTCCCATCCCTTGTCCCTCACCAGCCCCTCAGCAGCTTCCTAATGGCTGCTGAAGGGCTGGGGAAGGGACAAGGTTCCCACATGCACCGCGTCAGCTTGACATTGCCGACACAGCGCGTGTGGGAAGAGGAGTAGCCATGTGCCTCTCGGGACAGGTTGAGCCCAGCTGGAGCAGCAGGGGGCTCAGCTGCACTTAGGCAGGGGGAAATTGCAGCTGAGCCCCGGGGCCCCCGCCCCCCCCCGCCCCTTCTGCTGGCCGGTGCAGACGCGGCCCACCTCCTCCCGTCCCCAGCACCACATGGGGAAGCCACCGCTTCCCAGCCCAAGCAACTCGCTGCTCCCCATCCGCAGGCAAGAGGCAGCCTGGCTTGGCCACCCAGCCCCGGGTCACTGGCAGAGGCGGAGCAGCATGGGCAGGCAGGTGCTTCCTTCTGCCGGGCTGTCGGCATTGGCCACGCTGCACTGCGCAGGGCGGCCCCAGGCTCAGACGGAGCCTGTGCTTGCTGAGCCCCAAGGTGCTGCCCGGCCCCGGCTCCGGTTCCCTTCAGCCCAGCATGGCGCGGTGATGCGGACCCGCAGAGGCGGCGCAGCGGCCAGGCTCACCCTCGTCGTCTGCCTCTGCCACCTCCTGCCCGGCTGGGGTGCCACAGGTAGGGCTGGCCAGGCAGGGAAGACGGCACCTCCCCTGGGGCTGAGCTGGTGACTGTGCGCTTCCAGCACCTGTGTGTGTGTGGGGGGGGGGTCCCTGCCTTTCACAGTGGAGGGAGGCTCAGCTCTGACCCCCATCTCCTGGGGCCAAGGCTTTAACCTTAAAGCCTGGTGTTCCCCCCTGGGAGCTGGCTGTGCCCACATCCCAGAAGCCGGGTGCTGGAGCATTACAAAGGAAGGCAAAAACCTCCACAGTCTGCTCTAATCTGACCATGGGGTAAAATTCCTTCCTGACCCCAAATTTGGCAACCAGTGGGACCCTGAGCAGAGGGTCAAGGCCAGGGCTTGGCAGCGTTTTTTGGGCAGTGCCAAAAACACCCGCAGCCTTGACTTGTAAAATGTTGGCGTGCCAGTGGCAGACAGCGGGGGAGCCACAAGAGGCTCTATCCTTGTTGTAGCAGCACAGCCCTGGCCCTTCTCCTGAAGTCTGTCCCGAGGCACAAGTGCCAAGCAAAATGCCTTTGTGTGCTATGCTCTGGCACCCATGGAAGGGGTTGTCTACCTCTGGACATAACTCTGTAGCCAAAAACCTCTGGATTTGGTCCCAGAAGGAGCATTGGCACACCCCAGTCAAAGTCCTTAGCCTCGGCTGTAGCCAAAACCCAGTTCCTCTGAGGAAGACTTAAAAACACCCTGGCACATATAGCAGAAAGGGGAAGGGTGGTGGTGGGGGCAACCAGCAAAGCCCAGAAGCATAAGTACCCATAGTAGAACGTAGGCATAGGTATGCCTAGATCAGGGGTAGGCAAAATATGGATATTAAACCACATTTCCAGACTCATTTCATTGTCCCTTCCTGCAACTTCATTGGTGTCAAAGGTCACGTGACATCACTTCCTGATGTGATGCCACTTCCTGTGAGGTCTTTGAATATGGCTTGCCGGCCCACTGGCTGATAAAAAGTTTGTGATCCGGCCCCACATTCAAAAAGGTTGGACACCCCTGGTATGGCTGTTCTAGAAGTCAGGTCAGTGTACCACACAAAACTACACCTTAAAAAGACTAGTTCCAGAGTTTTGACTGTTCCTTAGCATACGTGAATATATAGTGCTGTCCATCATGGTCTGTATCAACTGATATGATTTCTGAGTGTTCACTTCAGGCCCAAGAACAGATGAAGAACGCACTGAAGATTTTCAGGCACCTGCAGAGAAGATCCCCTTTTAATACCCAGTTGCCCTAGTAAGAGTACACTAATGCATTGTTTCTCTTGAGCTGGGGAGCTACCATCTTAAGCACTCTGGTAAGTACCCTAAGGGATACTGAAAGTTAAGCATGTAATTAAGTGATTTGCTTGATTGGGACTTTAGTTAGTTTTACTCAGGAGCTTATTTTGTAAATAAGTTTTAAAAAGAAACTAATTAAAGCCACAGAATTATTGTTAGTTTCCCTTTGCACTATGGTTTTCAAACTCAGTATCCCATGCCATTTTAGTAAATTCGGTCTTCCCTTAGATATCCTTCAAATTACTCACAAATTTATACTCTGTCCCTCCTCACAGCCCTGTTTATTGCTTTTCCACCGGATATTTACAGGTCTTAATAATTTTTATTCAAAAGATAATCCTACCACTTTCTCTTAATCATTTTTGTTATTCTTCTCTGAACTCCCTTTAAGTTGATATCAACCAACCATCAAAGAGAGAATGTGAAGTCACTTACACTGTGCAATTAATACAATTTAAAACTTGCTTTTAAAAAAGCAAACTCCAGGAAACATTTTACATACAATTTTGATGCCACAAAGAAATGTGTGTTCAAGTGTTATTGTTTATCCCAAATAAAATGTAAGAAATGCGCTAATCATAATTCATACCCTAAATATAGCTACATTACTTTTGCCTGAGAGAAGACTTCAAGATTTCATACCTGTTCTGGTATATTAGTGGAAATATAAAATTAACAGTACACTATTAAAATGTATCCATTCTTTAACAAAAGAAAACATACCTGTGAAGTATGTGATTTTGCAAGAGGAGATGAACATGCTTCTTGAAATTTTTCTTCATTAATTCCAACTTCTTTAAGATAACCAGCTAGCAGTTTCTCAACCTACAAAAAAAGTCTTACCTTTTACTAGCTGCTTCCCCAACAGTAATAGAAATCACCAGGCTTTAAACTTCTTTGCCAAACCCCACTTACTTCAATTGCTATGGAGGGTAGATCACAGCTTTTATTTATGGAATGGAGGGGGAGGGTGCGCGCACGCAGATCCTAGCTTTTATTTCTATACTGATTCATATGAAAATCAGTACAATACTATTAAGAAGTAAGATATAGTGAAAATATTTTTTGTTTATACAGTGAAACTCATCTAAGACAGAATTATATGAGACTGCCTCTGCTTCTCCCCCTCTACCTCTCTCACTCAGCCCAGCCTTTGTAATTCACACACCCACAAAATGGGTAATTATTTTCTGTGATATACAAAGTGAGTCTACAACCGGGTCCCAAATTTCCTTTCTATTTTCCCAGTAAACTGTTTCTGGCATATATATGCTACATATGCATATTTCCTCATAAGGCATGTTGGGACCATATACATTTTCCAGCTTTAGCAAGTTCCCAGATTTTGCATGTACTGTATTAGACAAGGTTCACCATATTGTCATGTGTATGTGAAGTGTCTTCCAAAAATCAACAGCAGCTTTCCATCACCATATTTTGGAGTCAAGGAAAAGACCACAGTAAAGTCATCAATGGACAAAATAGAAGACTTAGATTTTATCATAATCCTTTTATTTTCTTCACTTTGTTTCAACAGTAAATATCAAACTCTCAGGTCTGTATTTTAACTAAAGACTAGGGACCTGACTGTTGTAACTATTAGGTGTCTAACTGGGCTTAGATGCCTAAGTATGATTCTATTTCACCCTGTTCAAGTCATGAAAATGTATCCATGTGCCTACTTTGGTAATGTACCATCTTATCCTTATGACCGAATCAAAAAAGGCAGTGAAGTGAAGGTAGCCTCACCCACATGTTTCATTTTAACTGTTTTTCAAGGACTTGAGTAGAGTGGAATATAATTGAACTTAGATGCCTAAATCCACTTACAAGCATAATAAAACCAGCTTCTTTTCCACCTAAGTCAGTGTAATTCAATATGTGATGAGAAGACTTAAACACTGTACATGCGTTTTTCAAAATTTCTTGATAAGAACAATTGTTTTAATCTAACTGAAATACCAAACACAAATATGAAATAGAATAAAAGATCAAGTTTTAAAGTGCTGATTCTTGCCTATAAAATACTAATTCAGGGGTGAGCAATTATTTCAGCTATAGGACCACTTAACAAGTTTGGGTGAGCTGTTAAGGGCCACAAGAGGCCCTGCCCCGTGACAAGCACCCTGCCCCCTGATCACCATTTTGGGACAGGAAGTCCCACCCCTAATCTCTGACCTTTGCTGCCAGAAGTCCCTCCCCTTGCCCCTGGAAGTACACCTTTTGGGAAGGGGGTTTGCCATCTTGGAACCGGGAAAAAAAAAACAAACAAATTATATACTAAAAATCAAACATCTGTAATAACATATTTTAATTTTATTTAAATAAAAATATTTTTGTCCCTATTTGTGTGCGTTTGCACTGTATATATACAAGTGGTTCCATAATAGCTCAAAATGAAGTCCTACTCTTGTATGTTGTGGGGGTGGGTGGGCATGGAGTTTGTGGGAGGCTGTGGATGTGTGTGTATGTGAGGTGTGGGGGAAGCTGTGAGGGTATATGTGGATGTGGGTGGGTATGACGTGGTTTGTGGGGATGTGTGGGTGGGCATGGAATTTGTGGAGAGCTGCAGAATGTGTGGGTGCGTGTGTGGTGGGGTGCGTGCATGTAGCAGTAAGCGGGGCTCCCCCCAGAGGCACCTGGCTGTGAGTGTGGGGGATGGTATGGGTGAGTGCAGTGTTTATAGGGTCTGTGATTGTGTGGCGGGTGGGGGTTGTGGGGTTTGTGGCTATGGTGGGGTGTGCATGGGAGCCCCCCAAGCGTGCCCCCCCACTCCGCAACAGCTCAGAGCCCACGCACCCTGCATCGCCTCCCTGCCACTACCTACAGCAGAGAGCTCCACCAAACCCAGAAAGCATGCTGGGGGGGTCTGGTTTAGCTTAAACCAGCAAAGGGTCTGGGACAGACATTGCATAAACCAGTTTGACCCATATCAGTTAAGTCTGATACTACATTCAACCAGGTTTATCTAAAATCTGTTTCAGCCATATTCAAACTGGTTTATGTGCACTGAACATCCGTTCTGTTACAGGTTTACACCAGTTTTTGATCACTTAAACCAGTTTATGTGTAATGTCTGTCCATAGCCTAGGGGGTTCTTATATTCTCCTCTGAAATATCTGGTGCTGGCCACTAACAGTGACAGGACACTGGACTGAACAGAGTTCCTGGGTTATGACACATTTCCATGTTCCAAAGGCCTTCACACTAGCCAGCCCTTTGCCTCCTCTTAATTTGTCATAATGGATTTCCAACTGTTTTTTGTAAAACTCTACTTCCAGTCTTTAAAAGAGCTGCAATGTATATGATTGGTTGCTACAAGGGAAGGGGTCTTCTCTCTGGAGACTGGACGTTTTGACAGCTCAGTTAGGGAAGCATATTCTTAGGTTTGGAATTCATGTATTTTAGACTCCTGAACAATTCAACAACAGACAAAACATGGGGCTGATTACTCCTCGTTTCAGGGAAAACTCTTACTCAGGGATTTCAACCTACCTTTACATAAAGAACTCAAAGCAATCTTAACAAAAGCCACAGACAATACCTCCATAATGATCTGCTTACCATACACCAAAGTTAGCAATCATGTCACTCTAAAATACAGGCCTTGGTCATAAATAATTTTCAGAAACTAAAGTGGGAAAAACCTTTAAAATCCCTAGATAACTAAGCCTGTGGCCCTCAAGCTTCTAAGACTCGAAGAATCCCACAGAAAATGCCTCTGAAGTCTGATAATGGGACTACTTTCTACACAGTATATAATTATCCTGTGGAGATAATGGTCACAACATACTTTGGAAGCCAGGAACTCACTAGGAATTTTTTTTTTAAATAGTAGTTATTTATATGAATAATGAAGAGTTCTACAGTCATGTTAAGTAGGATAAAATAATTTTCAGCTCTTAGTTTTCACTTATTTTTTGACTACAGAAAAATAAGGGAGCAATGGTTCTGTTGAAAAGAACTCAGAAAGACCACAACAGATCAGAATCTTTTTGACACTAGGGATCCCTATTCAAAATCTCTGGGTTTACCTTATGAATTGTGTAGGTGTTTGCACACCTAACAGTGATAATGTCGTGTGGCATCCCATGGCACCATTAAAAGGATCTCAAGGCATTCCAGATTGCATTGGCACCCTGATTGAAAAAAACCAATGAACTAGATAATTATGAGTTTGCATAAAATGTTTCTTTTTAATATTACAATATACATTTCTTATAAGGCTAAGCATAATTAGTGAACAGTACTCACCAGAATTTTGTACTCCTGATGAATATCTGTATAAGACAATTTGCTTTCTTCTTCATCATCGAAAACTGGGGAGAAAAAAAACAGACATTTTCTTCTTCAAAATGTACGTGTCAGCAGTTAAAATAGTACTGAAGACATTGGAATATTAAATAGGGACCTTCAAATTAATTCATTACTAAACCTTGCACAGTAAGATTACCTTTTTATATTCAAAAAAAATATTTAAACATAACTCTGTTGTCAAGAAAACATAGATTAGGAGCAGAAATAACATGACCTCATTTTGTTTCAGAGTGGATGTGATTAAATCAAATCGATTTAAATTGTGAGTTAAACCACTGGTCAGGAAGCCTAGATGTAATCATTATTTTCTACAAAAAGTGCATTCTTGTTGTTTGATATCCTTTGCTCATTTAACTTCTTGAAACTTTGCACTTTTAGAGAAAGGTAAGAGCTTGACTGTATGTACACAAACTTGTAGAAAAATAATAGGGCTGACAGGTAGGTAATCAAGTCTGTTATCTCTCATCTCCATATACTACTGTTAACAAGGATGTTATCTCTGGAGACAACAAATTCTCCCTATACCTGAAGAGGGGCATTTGTGCCTGAAAACTTGCAAAGAACAATTTTTCCAACTACTTAGTTAGTCTAATAAAATACATCACACCTAACCAAAAACCTTGTCTGCCTATGATCTATGGAGACAAATCCACAGTTTGAGAACTAAAACTAAGCAACACAGAGATGCTTAATGGGATCTTCTACACTGAGCACTGAGTCCCATTGGGTAAAGTGGTTTTCTTTAATCTTTACTAATCTACAAAGGAGCCTCTGGGAACCCCTTAAGATTGGGTCCCTAATATAGTCCATGGCCTGTTGTCCATCTCCTGTTCCCTCCATTACTTCAGGCTGGTGTGGAAAGCAGATTTAGAAGCCTCTCCCCTTTCCTGCCCCGATTTTCAGTGGTTAAACTGAAAAAGGACGTAGCTTGCTGACTGTGGCCTCAGCTTTGGCCTGTACATCTTCTGATCACAACTAAGTGGCACAATGGAGATGATTTCTACCTGTGCTGCCATCCCATTATCCAACAGCTGGTGGCCCCTAGGTACATCAGAGGAGATGGAGATGCTCTGTAGCCACAGCATTTTTCCCTGATCAGGATCCTTCAATTCAGGGAAAAAGAAAAATGTGTCGAGGGGCAGAGGAGGAGGAGTAGAATACTTCATTATCACCCAGTCAATGTTAAGAACACCTGATATTGTCAAATAACTTGCAAGATTTCACAGTTGCACCTTTATTCAATTATGTGCAGATTCCTTCTCAGACACAACAAAAGTATGTGAAGAGCCTGTCCTGAACCAAGTCCACAAGAAACAGCACATGAGCACCTGGCAGATGTTAAAACAATGATGTGATGGTGATCAGAGGAATTTTATGTCCCCTCCCAAACACTGTGGCCCCTGCCATACCATACGTGCTTGGCAGGATGCACAATGTTTGGGAGGGGGCATAAAATTCCTCTGATCACCATCACAACACTATGGAGCCATCCCTGGCCCAACCCTGCAGATCCAGCAGAGGGATGGGTCTGTCTCAGACCTAGAGCTGTCCCCATTCCCAATCCAGTTCTAAACCCAACAATCGGCTGATTGTCAGTCCTGGCCATGGGACTGCCCAGATGCATGCATGGTTTCTAGAACTCCCAGGACATCAGGAACATCAGGACATCAGGAACCTAGATGCAAGAAAAACTTCTTGTGCATTTATACACATACATCTGTCTGCTCTGACACACCGCAAAGAACTCAAGACATGACAGGACAGGCTGTTTGATGTGCCTAGCGGGTCATGGGCTTGAGCCCATCAAGGAAGAACTATAAGCCTCCCTTAGTAGGGAGGCCACCGGAAACACATCCACTGAGTTTGGGAGACAGCTAAAAAGAAAACAGGGACTAGAGTGAAATCACATGTTTAAAGGCAAGGGATACTGAGCAGAGCACACTGGCCAGCGCTCACTGGCCCTCGAACAAGTCCAAGGAACCAGGACAAGAAAGTGACCCTGCAGCCCTCAGGAGTCCTTCTGGCCAGAGCCTCCTTCCTAGTCAGGTATATCGCTATGGCAAGGAGGTATATCACTAGAGCTGCCACGCACCATCCTGCACTGCTGTGCAGGTGCCGCCCACCCAGCCAGATGCTGGGGATGGAGGAAGCTCACATGCAGCAGCTGCCGCCTCTCCGCATGTGGCCACGCACTACCCCCCTCGCCCTTCTCCCGCTCTGCATCCGGCCACCCAGGGTACACAGCCGCTGGCAGTCCGCTGATCCAAAAAGGTTGAAAACCCTTGCACTAGGGCAAGGAGTCCTGGGACTTGCTGGGGCCACAGATGGAGAGTGCATAAAAAAAAGTGCAGGGAGTTGTGCAGCAGGAGGCTCTGGAGGAGGCAGTGAAGAGGCTGTGGCTTGGCACTCCAGGTAGGCATGTGCTAGGGCCTCCCTTGCTGGCAGAAGGGACAGGTGGAGAGACCATGAAATGCACCAGATACACATGCCTGTGGCACTTGCTCCGTGGAGAAGCCACCAGTTGAGATCCCCAGTGGCTAGTGGGATCAGACTGGCACACAAGTTCATCCACTGGGGACTTAGCGTCTGGATGGGATAAGACAATTAAGGGTGCGGAGCAGGAGCACGTAGAGCTGGCCATGATGGGCACTTAGTACAGAAGCAGACCAGCTTGATACCCCCAGCCTACTGAGACAGTGTGGTGGGGGGCCCCACAGGACACGATGCTCTTAGCACTGATTCCTATTTAACACAACATCATAGAAGATGAGGACTGGGAGGGACTGTGGGAGGTCTAGTCTAGCGTTTCTCAACCCGGGGGTCATGATGACCCAAAAGTGGGTCATAAGTATATATGAAAGGGTCACAAACAAACTTTAAAAATGGATTCTATTTTAAAGGAGAAAAATGTGGGAAACGCAGCTTTTCCCTCACAGGCTGGCAGAGTTCCAGCCTGCAAAGGACTGCTTGGGGTCCAGGGGGAAGGGGGTAGCAGGTCCGGAGTGAGGGGCACTGGATCAGGACTGACCATGGATGTTTACAAATAGGACCTGGTACAAAAAAGGCTGGGAACCACTGGTCTAGTCCAACCCCTGCTCAGAGCCTGACCAGCCCCAACTACCTCATCCCAGCCAGGGCTTTGTCAATCTGCCCAACCTCCCTGGGTAGCAGGTCCCACAGCTTCCCCACCCTCCTGGTGCGAGAGTTTTCCCACCCAGCCTGGCCCTCAGGGTGCTGCTCAGCCCCACTGGATGCTCAGTGTTGCCAGGTGTATGATAATTATTGAATCTGTACAATAATTTCAACCCTTGTACAGCGTACAATCGATAATATTAATAGCATCCAAAATGCACGGTCCCTTCTGAGGCAGCTCATTGATGCAGCATAGGCAAAACCCAAGTCCCTCTCACAGAGTCTTAATTGACTTTTGGGCTTGCTGGCGGCACTTTCTGACGAGGGCTGGCCTCAAAATAAAGAAATGCTTTGACTTAGATGGCCCAGGTCTCACTCCCTCACCGGAACTTACAGCAAGCAATACAGAGTACATAAGAAGATTTATTTGCATACTGATTCGCCTTTTTTTCTTCCAGTGCACGATAGTTTTTCAGCGAATACGATCATTTTGAGCTTCCAATACGATACTACCCCAGCTAAGCGCGGGCAGCCCGTCGGGCCCAGCCTGGAGGAGTTCGGGGAGCCGCGCCCGCCCCGCCCCGCCGGGCCTACCCGCCGCGCGGAACCCCGCGCACTTCTGCTCCATGAACTCCAGGACGGGGCCAGACCAGACGGGCCCGCGCAGAAACGCGACGAGGCTGTCCACCACCCAGTCCGCCTCCGCCTCCGCCTCTCCCTCCGTCGCCATCACGCCACCGCCGCCCTCGGGCGGAGGGGGCTGGCGAAGCCCCGGATGCAGCTGCGACTGTTGGAGAGGGGGGTTCGGTCACTATGGCAATCGGCGTCACTATCGGTGCGGACGCTCGATGGAACGTTCCGCGGCCGGTGGTTCGGGGCGGAGCTCTCTCCAGTCCCCGCCCCGTCGCCATGGAGACGGGGACGCCATCGCCCCCCGCCCTGCCCCGGTTCCTCTCTCCCTGCACGGAGCCACCGCGAGGCGGGGCGGGGAGGAAGAATGTTGTGACCCCCGCCCCCCGCCGACAGTGTCCGGCCTGCGCAAGCGCAGGAGGAGCCCCCTTCTCGCCTGCGGGGTGCGGTGCCCTTTGGGGGCGCGCGCGGCGACGCGTTCCGAAGGTGGGGGGAGGGAGGAAGAGACGTTAGCAGCGCCCCTCCCCCCGCGCCTCAGGGGAGCGGGAGAAAGCTGCTTGCTTTGGTCACGCTGAGGGCTTGGCTCTGGCCACTGCAGAGAGATCTTCTCTCCCTCGGCATCTTCATCGCTCCCTTTCTATCTTGCCTCAGATTCTTGTACAATGACCACCGAGAGACGCTTTCTTCCATAACTTCCAGCTTCTTACAGAATCCCTTGCTCAGCCTCAACGAGTTGACCAAGTGTTCCCTGGCAGGTGACCGCATGCTTATTTGCAATTTGGAGTCTAAGCCTGAAGTATTGGTTTGCATAGGAAGCCACCATCTCTTTGTCAGTGGTCGATTGGACAACCATTAAAGTTTAATGACCTTTAGGTAGTAATTTTGGGCCACTTACCTTTTGTATTTTAGCCCAGTTTATTTTAGATTATTTGGGGAGGTCTGCCAGCATAGATTTGCTGGCAGAAAATCTATTTCTGAGCGCCTACATGAGATGTTCATGGCGCATTAGCCTAATAACTGCATAGTAGCATGTCATGGCAAAAGCTGCACTAATAGCCTCCTGCGCAGTATTATTAGGCTAATATGTGTCACTAAATAACCGTTCTCCTTACTACTGCACAGGAACTTGAAGTACTGCGAATTTAGTTAGTACTTTATTCAGGAAGTACTCAATTAAATGTGCAGTATCTTAAGTATGTTAATGAATGTGTAGATGCGCCCTGTATCTCTAATAAGGGGGTTTATAAACAGACCTGGGTTGGCATGGTGCACTCTGTAGCGTAGACAAGCTGATGTACACAGTTCACTTCATGAACTAGAAATCATCAGGTGCACATAATCATAAACTCCCCAGATTTCTTGCCCCACACAGGTACTGAGTGAGAAGGAAAAATCAGTGTGCACTAAAACTGCAATACCACGCCATCAAAACCACAACAAAACTTAGTACACAGACTTGTTTAACAAAAAGCCTTTAATTAAAAGGCCTTCTGCCTTCCAGAATACATTGCTGTTAGGCAGCGGTCTGCAACCTTTTTGTGGCAGTGGGTCAGCATGACCTGGCTTGGGTTTGGTTGTCCAACACCAGAATCTGGCTGCTGCCACTTCTCCCTGCTGCCTGGCCACAGCATGGGCAAAGCTCCCCCCTGCCCAGCTGTGCATGAGCAAATCTGCCCCGCTGCCAAATACTACTGAAGTCCCCCCACCCACTCCAGCATAACACTTCTGAAGTACCCTGGGTCCATTAACTGCATCCAATGGCTACTACAGCCAGATCCAAACTACAGGGGTTGCCATCCTACTGTTTAGAAAATACTCTCCTTGTTGTCCTCTATTGTTAGAACATAGAGGATCCATTAAAATAATTAAAAGTAACCACAGAATGCCCCTCTGTGTGGTAACACACACAGTCCAGGGTTTGAGGGAATGGGTCCAAGTGTCCATTTCCAGACCTAATCAGTGTTCTTCAGGGCTAAGCACAGACAGTCAAAAAGCCCCAGGCTGGATCAATTCAATCTTTGCAGGTTTCTTTAACCTGCCTAGTGTCGTGGAAACACACGCAGCATACTTTTGGGTCAGGTCAGCAGAAGCTTTTATTCAAAAGAAACTACAGCTGTAGGGGGGACTCCAAAGTGACATGGATTTCCCAAGCACTTGGAAGGGGTCCCCCCCCAAGAGCAAAATCAGGAGGCTTATATACTTTTTAACAGTTGCTTACAACTCACGTGATCATATAGTGAAATTAGCATGAAAAGCGGCTATAATATTACTTCATTATTTCTTTGCTGTAATCAGGATGGGAACTAATGTGGGAGGCGAGGTTAGTTCACAAACCTCCTTCTTGCACCTGCAAATCAGATTTGTACATACTTTTTTGCTATCTTCAAGGCCGCGGTGAGCGAAGCAGTTGCAGAGGAGTTACAAAGAACAAACACTTTCTCTTATCTGTTCTACTATACAGAGCCAGCAATTCTCCACAAAGCGGTTATGTCATCTTATAACTAAAATAATCAAAGTTTAAGGCATATATTTTTTCTGATTCCACAGTCCCCCCCCTTTGAGACTATTTAGTCTCACTTTACCCTTAAATTTTTATTCTCATGAGCCCCTCTATTTCATCATGCAGCCTTTCATGTTTTCTTTCAATCTGCTCACACTTTTGTAATACCATTATTCTAGACTCTGCTGTGGGTTTTCTTGCCTTGCTAAAGCTTCTCCTGCTGGCTTTCACGCAGCAGAGGATCAGTTGCACTAAGACATAAAACATTATCAGAACTATCAAGACAAACAATATTCCATACAGGATTTTCTTGCCAAGGGCCCCGGAATCTGGGAGCCAGGAGGTTAGCCAAGACCACATTTCCTTTAGACCCCAGTCAGTATTCTCTGAGGCCACTTGATGTAAGACCCTTAACTGACTTCGGATTTTACGAATGTCAGTTTCAATTCGCATGTCCTGATTGACATAGACACAACAGGTGGAGTTTACTAAGGCACATACTCCTCCCTGGGATACCAATAGGTAATCTAGGGCTACGCGGTGTTGTATAGTTACTTGTGAGATCTGGGAGATCTCTTCTTGCAGAGCCTGAATTGCATCCGCAGTGGCATTTCCCATAGCTTCCATTGTGGCTGAAATGTTAATTATGGCTAGTTCCAATTCTCTTACTCCAAGCCACGGTATGAAGGTTCTCACAAATTGATGGAACCCTGTGTTTCTGGTAGCTAAGGGGTTAACCGCCCTTTTCATGTGATGGTTGAAATTTTTTACTTGTTCCAGATATATTGTACTATGCATTTCAAAACCAGGGATAACACGTCCAAGAGTGCATGCCCCCACCCAATTCCAGGGCAAGATTTTATGAGCCCTGTTTCCGCAGAGCCAGTAAAGGCCTGGGGCAGAAAGGGTACTCAAATCTCGACAGGTGTTGTGCCATATCCGGCACTTTCGATTAATATGCATCGTATAGGACGGACCACGTTCAGCTGTTATCCTGCTGGACCGAGATATATTACAAGAAGTAAAATTGGAGTCAATGTAAAATTCCGATCTGTTTGCAATGAGAGCAACATGAGGTTCCTTAGAAAAGTTGTAGACCATGAATCCTGTACAATTGAGAGAGGGTACATTACCCAACAGGATTCCACTGGTGCTATTGGGGCTATAATCTAGAGTAGTTAGGCAATGAGGGTAGTGTCCTACAGGTGTGGCTTTATTATAAGCTCCGGTGTTGTTGGATCTGTAACAGAAAGGCGCCTCTACTCTTGGGGAGATTATCCAGTTAGCAGGGGCGGCCCTCCATTCTTTAGGAGCGGACCGATGGGCAGCTAACGAGTAGTGTCTAACGAAGCCGCCGTTTATTGTTCCCCATTGCCGGAGGGATATTGGTACTCCGATCATTGGGATTCCTTGTTGTAGGTGCGCTGGGCTGTGAGAGCATATCCAGCAGTCACTTTTATTTCCAGCTTGAGCCACCGTACGGGAGATCTGCAAGTACAAATTTTTCTCCCACCCCCCTTGGGTGATACTGAGATACCCAAGTGTGATATATAAGGATATCAGTGCCATTTTTAGATACAGGAGGGACAAAGAATTTTAACAACAAACATAACCAGCACCAGAAA